TAAGACATAGAGGGTTGATGCTTATAGAAGTGTTCATGCCATTAAAGTTGGAGTTTGTTTTTGGACCTTGAGTGTTATTTCACCTTAATCCACACCGAGGGGATTTGCGGACCTTAGTCACTCTCCCCTTCCTGCAGGTGGAATGTGACAGTACTGCAGTGCTCATTTCTGCCAAGCTGGGACTTCTCACACTTCATTGTAAACATTGCTAACAGCTACAGTGGCTTCTTTAGAGTAATTGGAGAGAAATGGTCACTTCTACTGTATGGCTCACCTAGGATACTCATCTACCTTAAGATGAAACAAAATCATGCCCTTGACCATTTCTATCCACTGAATATAAAGAAAGTCTAAATGAGCTCAGATGCAGAAGTCTTCATGGCTGGCCATGGCTGGCATCTAAAATCAGAAGAACCTATAGATTCCAATTCTAAAACCAGTAGGATTCATTGGCTTGGCTTGTCAGTGCTCTAAAATAGGGTGAAATACAGCAGATTTTAACCTGGAATATCTGAATCTGTATGTGAAACCCTGTAGCTCTTACTCAGGACCTCTTACTGTAAATCTTTAGTACCTTAAGCTTCCACTGCAGTATTACTCTCTAATATCTGCAGTCCTCCATGATATATAAGGCTTTTTCCCAACAGTTAGGCATGACTCGGTTTCATCCAGAATAGTGGGAGAAACCCTTGGGCAAAGCTGTGTTTATTTGGGGATTTTCTTACTGCATTTTCTTCTGTTCAGAATTTCTTAAGCCCTCCTATATCTTTTAGTGAAATATGTTTGCATGAACAGAAAGGAGAATGTCTAAGAGATGACAGTTTCTAGTGTGGTGGTGTGCTCCCCCCCCTCCTCCCCCCCGCCCCATAAGAAACAACCACCAGTGGGGGTTGTTGTGGCTGCATCCAGCTCATGGTGGACTTCGGGAACGCATGACAACACAGTAGCCAAGGGCTGCCTGGAGCAGTGACTCAAACGACTTGCTGATAGGACAGCCCAGGGCCCGTTGAGCTCTCCTGCACGGCGGGATCTCCCCTTGAGTAAGGACGCCTCTCAAGGTTACTCCTCGAGGTTGAGAGATTCCTTGCCGCGACAGATCCTGGGTAAGTGACTAATAGCATGCTAAACTTTGAAATCTTAGCTAAGTGATATAAAGGATTGATTGCGCATATATAATCCTTTAGACATAAACCGTTGACCAAGTCTGGGATTGGGATTGGATCCAGCCGCACCTAGACTCCTCTAAGGGAAGCAGTTTAGAAAGCAAGGGGGTCCTTTCTGAACCTCATGACTCAACGGGAGGGTCTCCCTGACAGTTTTGTCTGACCCTGTCCTCTATGCAGTAAATAATCAAGTGTAGCTCGACATCGAATCTTCTTAAATCACTGTCGCATTTACATTGAATTTTGTTAACTCACACTTCAACTCACCGTTTTCTATCAATAAAGTGTATTGTTGCTCCTCTCTTACGAGTGAAGTGCAGTCTCACTCCATCCGTGACATCTACTCACCATGTCTCATAATTCAAGCTAAGAAATATTCAGGGAAAAAAAAATTATAAAGGCAATACTTCTTCATAGTAGGTCTAGTTTAGATGTGGAAGTTGCTGCTGCAGAAACTGTAAGTTGCTGAGCTCAAAAAATTAACAAGTTTTAAAGAAACAAGTAGGTAGCAAGACTATCTTGTTATCCTAATAATTCACAAAAAAATCTGGAAACACTTCCTCATCAAAGATAGGTCAATCTTGTCTTATTAGAAACCAGAAGAACTATGTAAGATGCAAATTATCTGTTACCTAGCACAGATGTTCTGAAACATCTAGCATCAGTCACACCTAGTCACAGCAGACAAAATAGTTGACCTTGAGTCTAATCAAGTATGAAAAGACCTTTGTTCCTTCTGTGAAGCTTTTTTTTTGTACTAGTGTTGCTAGCAAATTGAAGTATTTTACCATATTTGTCTTGCTGCTGTCTTCCAAGCAAGAGCAGCCAAAGGTTCCCAGTGAAGGACCAACATGTTCATACAATGCATCACAAAGGTATTTTGAGTCTGGTACATTTAATTTTTTTATCAGAATAATATATTTGGTATTGTGCTCATTTTAAATACCACATTGCTTGTCACACTACATTTGGCAATAGACCTCTTCAAATATATTTAACAAATTGTTCCATGAGTAATAACTACATATAAAATATTTTCATTGAATTAAAAAAATCCATATGTATTTTCTTCATGAAATACAATATATACATTACGATCTTATAGTTTTAAGGTAAGTCAAAATTTGGGCTTAAACAAATTCACAGTGTCCATTTTACCTCTGTAATATAAATCTTCACTTTAAAAGTGCCTGGATCTTAAATTGTGTTTATGTATTTTCTTACATTGGGTTTATGGAGACTGAAGGTTTTACCACCGTCTACCACTAGACCGCAGATCCAAATTGTACATTACAATGACCAAAAATAAAGACTTTTGATTACTGAAAGTGAACTTTGACTGTCCTTGTTACCTCAAGTTCTGACTGACAGATTTTCTGAAGAGCTTGTCAAAGGTGGAAGATCTGCTTTGAGCAGTATGGCCTCTCATGCGGTCATTCAATGAAGCTGTAGTAAGTGCTCACTGCTTCAGAAAACCAGGCCCAAAATACTCAAGTGGGAACTCAAAATCAGTGGCCAGTTCTGGCCAAGGGAGATGGGCAGGAACCATCCAGGAGCCGAAAGGCAGTGAAGTGAGCGTCACGCTGCCTTCCAGCCCGAGATCATGCCAACTGCCTTCGTTTTCCATACAATGGCTGACACAGAAACCAGAGCGTTTCTGCCAAAGACCAGCCAGTCGGGTCATCTCACCTGTTGATTACCTCAGGAAATACTGCAGGTTATGAGGTAATGTTTCTTCATGATCAAAGGAGAGTTATGGAATTGGCTATTCTGTAGCTCATAGTTTTTCAGGCCAGCGCACTGTGGTTTTTAATACAAACTGCTCTACTACCTTTGAAAAATCTCACTTTCCTTCTCCCTCAAAGGAAGAAGCCTAAAGTTTCTAAACCCTGAGTTCACAACACCTGAGGCCCATGGGACACGGATTGTCCCACATGCTCCATTTGTAGCTAAACTAATGGGGCCAAGTAGAAGGCTGAGCAATTCCCCCAAACCATGACAAACACCCTTGGGACAGGCCAGTCTCCACAGTGGCTTACATTGCTCTCCAGGCAGGACACAGCCCCTCACCTCCACCTGTCTCCACATGATTTCAAAACCCATTCTAATATACTCTTTTTTTCCCTGAAAATACACAGTGATTTCACCAACAATTTTTTAAAAAAGGACTATCAGTAAATTCAGCTAGAAACTAATCTAAACCCATTAAAAAACCCCTTCCAGCCTAAAAGGGAGAGGCAGAAACATTCTGATACATTCCACAATAAATAAGTTTCACAAAGCTAATTTAAAAGCAGTTACTGACAAGCCATTTTCAGCCTTGTTTCCTAAACATACAAGGCTTTTACAGGTGCATTATACATCTTGATGTTCCTGTTACAATTTTTCACAGCCCTTTCACTAATTTCAACCAAGCTTAAAGAGGAGCAGAGCTCTCCAATGTAATATATGCTTCTAACAGTCCCAGAATTGGTGGCTGTCAGAAGAGAGAAACCCAAATTACACTATTAACTGAGGGGAAAATTAGATGGAATTTAGCCTGTATCTATCTGGCGAGACAGAAAACAGCTGACTGTCCTGCATGGACGTATTAGCTGGCCAGTCACAACTATCAGCCAGATGGCATGGGCTACCTCTTCTCCAGTTTAACAGAAGGAGACATAGAAGAAGTATTGCAGTGGGCAGGGTGGAAGCGTTGGAAGCTTTTGCTGATGACATGGAGTGAAGAGTCTTCATTGAAGGAGTCCTAGGGAATACAGCACAAGAGCTGAGCTTTCTCCAGTGGAAAAAAGGACAAGGGATGCAAATCCATAGAAGATGAGATTTCACAAATTTTTGGAACAACATGTTTTTGTTTGCTAAGGATAGATCTGAAAAAAATTCAATGATTTAATTAAGTTTAACTGTGGGGAAACATGGTCCTCAGTGCATGACATTCCCAGAATTCAGAGAGAGGGTTTGCACCTAACATTTTAGTATCTTCCACCTTAAATAAATATGTTACCAGCTTTACATTCAAACCCCTACCCTACAGTTTGCGAGTTTTAGTTCAAGACATAAAAGCTGGAGAACTTGGGAATTCTGGAACAGATTAGAATTTCAAGGATTAATTATTTTGGATTAAAGAAGTTTTCTTCAGGCCTCAGCAATAGCTTTTCAATAAACTTGGTGCAAAATATTTCTTTCTTAATGCACTAACTCCCATTGGAACCTAGGTATCTTTCAGGCTAGTCCAGTGGTGACAGGGATAAGTAGGGAAAAGTACAACACAGTGCTCTGAGTATTCCGATATCTACCTCTTCAAGGAAACGTTCAAATAAATTACTTTAATATCCTGCACATTTTTAAGAAAGGCAGTTAGTTTTTTGGTTTTTTTGCTAGTTGGGAATGCCTGAAAAATTAAATAGCTTTTGATATAAATATGTAAAAACCTGGAATTTTCCTCTTTTGCTTCATAAAAATATATGTAAGAATGTCTACAAAAGGAAATTTGCAAAAATAACCAGTTAATGTAGGAAAAGTTTAGATTTATGCTTTTAATCTTTCATGACTGGGCTTATAAAGATTCACTGTAATTCTAAAAGAGGTAAATTGAATATTAAAATTATCCTAAATTAACTCTTCTTCAGCAGGTAAAGAATAAATAAGTATCTTCACTCAAGTGGTATCTCCTCCCTACTGTAGACCCAGAGGATTTGCCACTGTGCTTTTTCAATAAAGAACTGGAATGATTTAATTTCTGAATCTGTTGTAGAAATGTGAGTTAGACTTGAGAAAAACAGAAATATGGCTTTAAGTGAATTATTAACGTTCTGTTGCATTTCTTAAACATTTAGGTTATCTCTTGCTTTCTTCTTCCTTAGAGTCAATTGACAGTTTTTCCCCAAGTTTCCTTATGAGTTCTGCCAGATCTTCAGAATTTTGAGATTTTTCCTCAAGGAGTTCATACCGGAGACTTGAGATGTCCTGTTTGATTTCCTTCAGTTCACCTGTAACAGACATTAGAAGATCACACTATTAAGAAACAAAGGAAAAAACAGCATATCCTCACAGTTATCATGGGTTTTCTCTGGATTTCTTTGTTGAAACACAAAAAGCGGATGTTCTGCTGCCCATTGGTGGATAGTGGCTTAGGAATAGGAATATGAAGATGCAGTTCAGGAATCAAACAAATTTGAAGGCAAAAGTGTGAGAGATCACATCAGTTCACAAAACTCAAAGGATCCGTTAGATGGAAGCTGCTGTTCTGCTGCAAGAGAGATCACAGAATCATAGAATCATGGAATCATGGAATCGTTTAGGTTGGAAAAGACCTTTAAGATCATCGAGTCCAACCGTAAACCTAACACTGCCAAGTCCACCACTAAACCATGTCCCTAAGCACCACGTCTACACGTCTTTTAAATGCCTCCGGGGATGGTGATTCAACCACTTCCCTGGGCAGCCTGTTCCAGTGCGTGACAACCCTTTCAGTGAAGAAATTTTTCCTAATATCCAACCTAAACCTCCCCTGGCGCAACTTGAGGCCGTTTCCTCTTGTCCTATTGCTTGTTACTTGGGAGAAGAGGCCGACAGCCACCTCGCTACAACCTCCTTTCAGGTAGTTGTAGAGAGCGATAAGGTCTCCCCTGAGCCTCCTTTTCTCCAGGCTAAACAACCCCAGTTCCCTCAGCCGCTCCTCATAGGATTTGCGCTCTAGACCCTTCACCAGCTTCGTTGCCCTTCTCTGGACACGCTCCAGCACCTCAATGTCTTTCTTGTAGTGATGGGCCCAAAACTGAACATGGTATTCGAGGTGCGGCCTCACCACCACCAACTACAAAAGGACAATCACTTCCCTACTCCTGCTGGTCACACTATTTCTGATAGAAGCCAGGATGCTGTTGGCCTTCTTGGCCACCTGGGCACACTGCTGGTGCATATTCAGCCGGCTGTCGACCAACACCCCCAGGTCCTTTTCTGCAGATCATGCAGATCAGGGGTGCCTGAGTCTTCCTGGCCAGCCACAAGGCCTCTCACTGTCCAAAAGAGAGCGGTCCTCTCCTTTTCCTGCTGCACTAAGTGTCTTTCTAGCATCAGAGGGGTGCAAACAGATGACAACATTTCTGTGAAGTGCATTCACTAGCTGTTTCCAGCTAATAAATCACACCAAAAAAAGGCTGAAGTGTGTGTATCCCCATATATGAATCCCCAATGAGAACACATATCCACACAAGGAGGAATTCATACAGAGTGCCCCAAACCAGCTGCTGCATTAAATGCAGCCTCACCATGGGAAATGCATGGGCATTACTAGAAGTAGCAACAATTTTCACAAGAAATTGTCAGATCAGTGATAGTTTCTGATGGGAGAGCAGAGGCAGAAAGTCACATCTCTTCCTTAACTTCAATTTCATGTTAATTTTACATCTTGCACTTGTAAACATGTCAAGTGGATTAAGTATTTTGGAAACATTTTTTTCAAGTGGCATATGTAAGCACTTTAATTACTTTGTTTTGATTCTCTGATTAGAGATAAACATACAATTCATCAACATACTCACCTTCATTGACTTCATCACTTTCCTTATCTATCTGAGCTTTCAGTACATATCTTTTAATGAGACGCTTCATTATTTTCTGCAGAGAAGATAAAAAGAAAAAAAGAGTTTTCTTAGTTGGACTTCCTAGTATTGCTGACATTTCAAAATACGAGCTCTGTTACCTTCAGATATTTCAGTGTAGGACTTACCAGGTTAAAGGAATATAATGTAAAAATCTCTGCTTTCATCTACAGTAGATATTTAAACTTTATGATTCTGCACATATATGTACATGAAAGTTAGAAAACTAAACACATCTTACGAATGTTATCATTTACAAAGCTTAACCTACTACTGGAGTCTATGAGAATGATTAATACAGTTGCAGCTTTGATCTCCATGTAGGTGAAACCATCTAGCCTTTATTACTACCAGAAGATGATAATGACCCTGATTAGCAGTGCTAATTGCTAAACCCTTTTGCCACTAGATTATTTTAATCTATTTTCTATTATATTTGATAAGTTATCTTTTCCCAATGTGAGGCTTAGAGAAAATGGGACCCACAATTCTGAGAGTCATTTAAGCATCTCAGCTGGGACTCATCTAACCAAATACAGATATTTTCTAATGTAAATATACATATCTGTGGCAGTCACCTTTAATTTCCTCTATGGATAGAAAAAGCAAACCTGAGAGCACAGTTCATCTCAGACAACTAAAATTGATCAAATAAATCATACCATTAGAATGACTACTCTTTCTGCTGACAATAAGGGGAACCTAGGCCAGCAAATTTATATGTAAATTTTACCTTTCCAAGAAAAATGAATTCCACCCCTGATTCTCCCATTAGTTCAAATTACTTGAATAAGAACGAGGTATCTAATTACCTTTGAGGATCTGTCTTTGTATCTTTGGGTTTAATATTTTTACATGGTGTAATCCATGACAACACAAAACTTTTTGGTTTTCACTACAAGATATAAAATATACATAGGTTTATGTGTCTGCTTTTGTCTCCACAGTAATAGACCTGACCAGAGGTGGTTGTGAGGTGAATCATCCCAGATTAATGGTTCCAGATCATCACTATAGTCATGCTTGCAAGGTCAGCAGCTGTACTGTTTATTCTAATAATCTGAGAATGTTTCAAATACAAAGCCACACATCCTCACGTTTATGGGATAAATTTGTAATCTTAATATTTATCACGGCATCGTAATGAAATTGGCTGTGAAAAAGTCAGGGAGTTTCTGGAATAGACCTGTGCAGACACTGCATAATATAAGAGTGGAGCAGAGCTCAAGAGGAAAAACTTTTTTCTGTCTTATGGTTAAAAAAGGTATACTTGTTTTCTATATGCTTTTGCATTCAGATAGTCTTGTTCTATTGCCCAGGCAGCTCTTGCTTCTTCCTTTCCACCTACTTTGTAGTATTACAGGAAGGAAAGGAGCAGCCTCTGGAACAGAATAGCTGAGCTTTATGTGGGCTGTGCTGGGTCTTTTTATACTTAACTGCACAAAGGCTCATTGCAGTTGTTTAGGAGGCAAAGAATAAACAGACTGTATTGATAAGCATAAAGGCTGAAAGATATTTGCAGTGCTTGAGGTATTAGTATATAGAGGTGTGGCACAATAAGCTGAGCTACTTCAGCAAATGGAACAGGAAGATTTTGGGTTTCTGTTTGGTTTTCTCAGTTCGCACTGTGCGGTTGAGGACTCAACCTGTCTCCAAAATTAAAAACATTTTTCAAGCGCTTTAAAATATTGCACTATAAGGGTAGCATTTAAGAAACAAAGAGGAGAGAAAAACACCCTCAGATTGTACTGCAAATACCTAAATCATTGCATTTACTTCTGATATATACAAGGTCTGTGGATTTATTTTTGATTCATGTTGTTTAACATAAATTCAAAACTGTCCTGATGCTGTGAGTCTGCCAGTTCTACTACTTCTTGATTTTGTTTAAAAATAAACTGTTTTTTACCTGGTATTGCCTTGGAGGATTGTTTAAACTGTTTAAGTGGATTTCATCTGAGCTTCTTATACTTGATTGCTTCCTTTGACCAAGCTGAAATGGAAACATTATTTATAGTACAAAATAAATAGAAGAACAATATGGTTAAACTACCTCATGCATATGTCGTATGACAGAACATTAACTGTTAAGTTCAATTTGGGGAGTATTAAATTACTGTGGTAAAGTCCTCGTACCTGTGCAGAATTTCATCACAAGAGCTGAAACAAACCCTTTCAGACTGTGATGTAGGAAAGTGAGAACTGGAAGGTTTTCTCCCTTTACTCTGCCTCTCACCTGCTCCTAACATGCCCAAGGGACCAGAGCAAAGCAGCCACCTCCCCGCGGGCTTTCCCTTGCTCCTCAGGTGCACAGGAGGGCAATCCACATCAGGAGGAAGGCAGCACTGGTGTGGCACAGCTTTGTCGGCAATGGATGAGGGAAAGTCAGGGCAGAGTTGTGGGAGAAGCCAAGGAAGAAGAAGAGATGGCAGCATTACCCCTTTCCTTTCTTTCATAGCACTTGCCCATAACTAATGTGACCTCCACTACCACAAAACACACAAGGAGTTTGCTTCTCCCCTCACTTGCACTAATGGCTGAATGTAATCAGTTGTGCAGTTCATGCCAGGGACCACAAAATTATCAGCTGACATTTTTGAGTAGCATCTTCTTTACTACACGTGCTGAAAGAAAAGGGCATCACTCCCCAATAAAACACCAAGGATGCAATTTGCAGGCTTCATTACTGATTTACATCTTTGTGAAGGAGTAAAGCGTCACAAAATAGTGAACTGAGACTCAAGCTGAATGACTAGGCTGCGGTAAGAGTGAATAACAACTGTCAAAACGAAATGAATATTACTTTAAATTGATAATGGGGCGAGTCCAATGAGTAATAGTACAAGAAATTAAAAAAAAGTGAAATATAAATCATGGTTGATCTGAATGAGGAATAAGTGGGACTGTCACTAAAAAGTCAGTTCTCTGTAATTATACATGGTCCAATAAAATGTTTACTGTTTTAAAGCATGGAGCTATCATTGCAGTGTCTCAGATCCTGTGGGATCGTGTTGTACTTCCAGTGAGGTTCTCCATGTTGGTTATCTCTGTGTCTTAATGCATGGAGCACCTACAGATAAGCAACCTGGGGCACTTTGAAGCCTGGTAAGTAATATGTGGGATATGCTGCAATATAGTTTGGTGGGGAGGAAAGCAGGTGAGGGTTAGATGCTTATGCAGCTGTGCAGGCATGTCACACATCAAGAGAGTCCACAACACAATGCCTGATGTTAATGAAGGCTAAAGCCTTCATGTAGCCATTTCTCCTGCAACTGAAATTATTATAACCTCTTGAGGTAAAACGGGAACTTCCCAGGGTTGTACTTTGATAATAAATGGAAGTAGGAATATGGAATACGTGATAAATATTCACCAGATGTCAATTAGAAAATGATAAAAACATCTCAGCAGACAGCTTTACTGGGGCTTCGTTTAACACATGTACTAACACAAAGGCTAAAATAAAAAACTTGGGAATTGTATAGGTGTAAAAAGGCTGAATGAGGCATCAGATTCAGTTGTTTAACCAGCAATGAGGACATCAATTAAAAGTCTCAATTCTCCCAGCTGCTGCAGAGCTTGCTCCTTAAAAGTCTTCTAGTTTTCTAGAATTCAAAATAACTTTATATTCACTTTAACAGTAAAGCAAACAAGTCTTAATGAATTTGCAAACAGGGAATAGTTTAAATATTTTTAGATTGTGTTTAGCATTTCATAGAATCATAGAATGGTTTGGGTTGGAGGGGGCCTTTAAAGGTCATGTAGTCCAACCCCCCTGCCGTGGGCAGGGACATCTTTCACTAGATCAGGTTTGTACTTTGGTATTTTTTCCTGAAGACTACACTTATTGGTAAAATATATTAATTTGCAATTAATATGAAGTTAACACTGAATTTGAAATTTCTTTTTGTTCTTTAGAAAGATTCACAATATCTATACACCTACTTCTAAAAATATTATATATCTATTCAGACTATGTTTATTTGACTAAGCAAAAATAATGATAGAAGACATATAGTAGTATATAAATAGATATATAAATAATTAATGTTTATCTCTAACATATTAACCTGAATTTGGATGGAAATTGAATTAAAGGTGTATAAAAAGGGCAAGTTATTGTTGCTTTTTCTTGCTTGAATAAAGCTACCTTACATGTTTTGAGTATATATTAGAAAACGTAAGTTTATCTAAATGTTTTAACTTAAACTATGTATCTGATTTATTATAAAAAATAGTGGCTAGTGAGTTTACACGACTATGTAATCACTATGTCTTTCAGAATTTTAGAACTAATAATACTCTCTTGGGCCTCACCTTTACTACTAGATTAAAAGAGAAAAACAATCTTCCTGCTTTTTCAGCTCCTGGTTTCCTAACGCACAGTTTTTGGAAATAATGTAGTAGAATAAGAGGAAGCATACTCTTCCTCTGCAGTGGCAGGGGAAACCTGCCCTGGCCAAAGCTGCTCTAGGGTGTGAGCTTGGGCTCCGGCTGTGTGTCTGGTGTCTCAGCCCTTCTGGATCTCTGACTTTTTCTGCAGCTGTGATACCATTCATGATCCTGTGTTGTGGTTTAACCTCAGTCGGCAACTGAGCACCACGCAGCCGCTCGCTCACTCCCCCCACACCCCGGTGGGATGGGGGAGAGAATTGGAAGAGCACAAGTGAGAAAAACTCGTGGGTTGAGATAAAAACAGTTTAATAATTGAAATAAAATGATAATAATAATAATAATAATAATAC